CGCACGGCCGTGTGTTGTTGCTTTGTCGGGGGCGTGTGAGCACGCTCCGGTATGCTGGGACCGGTTTGGTTCAGATGCCAGTCGCCACCGCTTCTCCCAGCCCTTGACCGCGAATCCAACTCAGGTGGCAGGGCTGGCTGGCTGGGAACGCGGTGATGCGAATTCGCGACCGTTCCCAGTGCGAACAGTTCGCTCCACCCCTGCGGAGAAACCTTGGTCCCGGAGCTAAGGGCGTCCGTTCTAGGAGGCGACACGCAAAACAAGACGCGAATGAAAATAGACTTTCCCATTAAAAGTGTCTTCTTTATTTATGACGGATGGATGGAGGAGTGGGTTCGGGTGAGTTGAGTGGGGGGGGGGGGGGGAGCCTGTGGGGGGAAGGGGTTTAACACAGCTATGACACATTCCGTGGACTTCTGGAGTTGATAAAATATTTTAATCGGCATACTCTTAGGTAAAAAAATGAAATTAAAATTAATAAAAATAAAATAAGAATATAAAATAAAAATATTTATTATTATTTTATTTTTATTAATTTTAATTTCAATAAATTAATAATATAAAATAAAATATTTTATTAAATTTTATTTGTATAAATTTTTATTTCAATTTTCTACCTACGTGACTTTACCGAAAAAACTAAGAGTATGAATCCTTGCAGTCACGAAAGCTTCAAATCTAGAATTTTTATCGGCATCAACAAAAATAAAACATCGAAGTTGACCCCCCCCAAAAACGACCTTTCGTCACCTCTGTGAGAGGGCTTCTGTCGAAGTCGCTGCTGCTGCTGCTGCGGCCGCGGAGAGAGGAGACGAGGAGGATGGAGCATTTCGCGGCGGGTCGAACAAGCTCGTGAATTCGTGGGCATCTGCGAAGAAAAGCTTCGTAGCTCCTCGAATCGCTCCAGTACAAATACGGATTCTGATTCTGACACGCCCGCCGGGATTGCTTCGCTCGGCGCTGCGTTCCGCATTCAAATCGTCGGTGGAAGGGGGTTGTGGGGGGGGGTGTCGTTGGAGGAAGAGGGGTCAACAGAAGAGCTGGCCCCACGTCGCCGTGAGCCTCGCTGACGGGCCACTGGCAGGCCGAGGGGCGGCCGAGCGAGAAGCGAGAGCGGATCGAGCGGTGGCCGTGAATTCCGATGAGGCTCACGGCGGCACCGCGTTGCGTTGCGCGCCTCGTGCGATTGCGAGGTTAGCGATAATCGCGATAATCGCGGTAAAATCGCGGTAATCGCGATATTCGCGATGATCGCGACGTCGGCCGTTCCTCTTCGTTATCGTTACCGTATTCTCCGCATTGTAAGAGACAACCGCCAATCAACTCCACGCCCTGTCTCTGGAAGTAAACACGTGGGAGTGAGCAGGGTCGGGTCAGCCCATCCAGGAGCGCCACGTGGACGCGCCTTATAATTAATTCGGTAGGTGGGTGGGTGGGTTGGGTGCGTGAGTGTGTATGTCAGTGAGTAGTTCTGTTTAAGTGTCGTGGTGTACGCGGGGAGCGGTGGTGTAGCGGTTAGCGCGCTTGCTCCACGAACCCGGCGACCCGAGTTCGATTCCTGCTCAAGGTAATCAACACCGGTGACGATTATCTGAAGCTGTCCTGGGCCTCTCCTAGGTCAACCCAGCCTCAAATGATTCTCTGTAGCAGTATGTAAACATCGCCACTCGGGAGACAAAGGCGGCCGGGCGTGGTGCTGGCCTCCCACCCCCTCGTGTGGCGTGCCTGACTTCATAGGTGCGTGCTAACAGCACTTGCTCCGACAGTCTGTTGAGGTTACACGGATGATCTTTGCCATTGTGTATTCTAGTGTATGTGATATTTGTAACGTGGTACAGAAGGATGTGGAACCAAGCGGACTTGCCGAGGAGCGACGCTCACAACAACGAGCGGAACCCCGGGCGGCTAAAACGCAGCAAGTTGTCACAATATGGGGGGCACAGGTGGTGCATCTGCCAGCCATCTCAGTCAGCCAACCCCCTTGGCGCCTGGGTGACCTCGTGCCCGTGACGGCCTCGGACAAAGGTGCACCTCTCCTGGCACGATCGCCGTGTGGTGACGTCACCGTCACTCGGTGGGCGAACGACAGAGCATCTTATAATCCGGAAAACACGGAAATTGCATGCTTTTTCCTTGCAAACATTTTATTATTCTTAAATACAAATGTTGTGCGTCCCGACAACACGTGAATGCACTGACAAACTCAGTAATAAAAAGTCATAAATAAACTCCGACAACTCAATTAAGCTCACGATGTGCGAAACATATCCTGAAGTAAAATGGACGGTGCGGTGGTTACATGACGTCATACTTTTTTTTGTTTGTTTTTCAGTTACGGCAATGCCCCGCTTTACGTCGGAGATGCGTTCGTGAAAGTTGCGACGACGGTGCGGTGGTTACATGACGTCATGCTTTTTTGTTTGTTTTGCAGTTACGGCAATGCCCCGCTTTACGTCGGGGATGCGTTCGTGAAAGTTGCGACGACGGTGGTTACATGACGTCATGCTTTCGTGTTTGTTTTGCAGTTACGGCAATGCCCCGCTTAACGTCGGGGATGCGTTCGTGAAAGTTGCGACGACGGTGGTTACATGACGTCATGCTTTCGTGTTTGTTTTGCAGTTACGGCAATGCCCCGCTTAACGTCGGGGATGCGTTCGTGAAAGTTGCGACGACGGATATCGAAACGACGTAAATCGAAGCGATGTACGGCGTAAGTAGTAGCAGTGGTGGGTGGTGGTGGTGGAGGCGAAGGCTGTGGCAGGCGACGGAGAACGAGAAAGGAACGGACGACGATGCCGTCAGCGACGTGAGTGTGGGGCTTGTGGCGACAGCGAATCGCGTGGTGGTGGTGTCAATAACAAAGTGGCGACGTATTTGCGAAACGAGGTACAGGTGGGGAGACGTGAACCGGGGTATGACTGTGTTGTAACCGTTGATGAAGTTTGCATGTTAATCGACAGCAAGTGCTCTCCGTAAGCGCTCCAGATTGTTTGTAAACATTTTTTTTTTGCTAAATTTTCAGGAGACTGGCGGAAGGTTTTTCTTGCCTTGGGGGTAAACGACACCTCGAGGGACTTCAAAAGTCGTCTCAAATCCCAGCAACGCACGGAAGAAGCAGCAGCAGCAGAAATCACGAAAACAACGAAAACAACATTTGGGTAACACTGCGCGAAACGCTTCAGCAGACAGCCGCCGTGGCGGAACTGATATTGCGATAATCGTCCCATAGTCACATTCGATATCGTGGACAACTGTTTGATTGTTTTGCTATCGCGCTAAGCCCTCAACGATGCACGGGTTGTGGTTGACGAAGGGGGCGGGCGACTCACGGACTCTAGAATGGTAGCGACTGCAGTGAGGGGTGGTGGTGGTGTGGGTGGTGGTGGTGGGGGTGGTGTGGGTGGTGGTGGTGTGGTTGGTGTTGGTGTAGGTGGTGGTGGTAGTGGTGGTGGGAATGAGGGTGACATAGATCGAGACGTCGTCACATTGCGTGCCCAACGCCCTTTGGTGCAGAGGCACCACCACCACCGTCACCACCACCGCCACCACCACCACCACCACCGCCGCCACCACCACCACCACCGCCGCCACCATCACCGCCGCCACCACCACCACCACCACCGCCACCACCGCCACCACCACCACCGCCACCACCACCACCATCGCCACCCACACACACGCGTGCCACCCGCGGCTCGGTCCCGCAGTTTCGAGGGGGCGACCGTCCGGCACTTTCACATTCCATCTTTACCCCTCTGGGTCGCCGCAAGAAAAAAATGAAAATAAATCCGGGGCTAAGCAGAAGGAGCTAACGGCGTGAGTTGGTGGGGGCTTGGAGGGGGGGCGGGGCGGTGGATGGTTCAGGAGGCGGCTTTGTTTTAAGTCCGACGTTCCGGGCACGCCCGCAACGCCACGTCGCTTGTTGGGGAACACAACGGACGCGGGTCCGGTTTTCCGCTCCTTGCTTCGCGCATTTTTTGGTCTCTCTCTGAGCTCCGTTCGACCTTGCTGAGAACGTCCATCCAGGAGGGGGGGTGTGGAGGAGGGGGGTGTTGAGGAGGAGGAGGTGGAGGAGGAGGGGGGAGGAGGAGGATGGGGTGGGGAAGAGGAGGGGGGGATGAAGAGGAGGGCTGGGGAGGAGGAGGGGGGTGGAAGGAGGAGGGGGGTGGAAGGAGGGGGGAGGAGGAGGGGTTAGGAGGAGGGGGTGGGAGGAGGCGGAGAGGTTGTGGGAGGAGGAGGTGTGGGGTAGGAGGGGTGGGTGGGTGTTGAGGACGTAGAGCGCTGTCGCCTGACAACCCGAGCGCTCTCGCCGCGTTCCCCACCTCGTCGCCTTCTTGCTGGGCCACACGGCAGCGGCAACGGCCTCGCGATTCGATTGGCGGTGGAACGGGCGCGTCGCTCTCACGGCGTCCAGGCTGACTCCTTTCTCTCTCTTCCCTTTCTGCCCGGAGGAGATTATCTGGCCGTTGCGTGCCCACCCACCCACCCAGCCGCCCCTCCTCCTCCTCCCACCCCGTGCTCCCCCCCCCCCTCATTGCCCCCACCTCGAGCGAGATGGCTTCACTCAGATCCGTGGATGATCGCCAACAGCTCGGCTCGCCAACGCGACATGCGGACGGCGGCGGACGCAGACGCCGTTTCGGAGTTGTTTGTGAATGCCCAGAAGGGACGTGGAGACGAGGAGGTGGGGGCGGGGGGGGGGGGCGATGGGGGGTGGGGGAGATGGGGGGTGGAGGGGGTTGTCACACCGGCAAGTTCTCGATACACAGTCACCTCGCGTACAAAACCCTGTGTGAGAGCCGGTGAAGTACGCACGTGACCCGCGCGCGCGCGTTCCCCGCACGTGACGCGCGCGCGCGCGTTCACGACACGTGACGCGCGCGCGCGTTCCCCGCACGTGACGCGCGCGCGCGCGTTCGCGGCACGTGACGCGCGCGCGCGTTCCCCGCACGTGACGCGCGCGCGCGCGTTCACGACACGTGACGCGCGCGCGCGTTCCCCGCACGTGACGCGCGCGCGTGCGCGTTCGCGGCACGTGACCGGACGCGACGCTTTGTGTTCGCACTCCGACTGGATGCGCTCCGAACTCCCTGAATGTGAACAACACGTGGGCTGAGCGCGCATCGTTTTGGCAGGTCGGCAATAGTTCTCCTCTGGTACGGATGAGATGCTTGCATCACCATCACCACCACCGAAGACTGTGATCCACTGCTGGATGGACGCTTCCCCAAAGTCGCCGCTGACAATCTCTGCACGCGACGATCCACCCAGCAGGCAGCTGCCACGATCTCGCCTCGTCGCTCCATCTCCCGACGACGTTTCGCAGGGGCCGGCCTTCGTGACCACTTGATGCCATTGTAACCAGAGTCGCGGGGGGCGCGTTGGCAAATGAGGCTCACAAGCTCACAGGCTCACGTCTGCGCCACCACGTCCACTCGTGTCTCTCCCGTGGCTCACTCCGCTCGTTCCTCGTGGGTCACTCCGTTCGTCTCCCCCCCACCCACGGGGGTCACGTGGTGTCCATCGAGCATCCATCACACCTCGGACATGTGGCTCAGCGCGCACTTGAGAGGACTCATATCCCTGCGCTCCCTCAAACTCCGCACGCCGCCGATTGGCCGCAGCGGCGACTCACCGCCACCGCCACCACAACGCACCTTGACTCCGTTCGTGAGTGACAAGTGGGAGCAGCCCAGCAGCTGATTGGCCGGGAACCTGTGGCTGCCGCCACCACCACCACCGCCGCTGCGCCCGCTGCTTGCGTTGGCACCGCCGCTTCCACCTTCGCAGCAGTGCAGCAGCAGCACGCTCCGCGCCGAGCACTCGGCCCGCGGGCGCCGGTAGTCGCACGCGATGTAGCGTCGGAACGCCTGCCGGAAGGCGCGGTTAAAGAGCGTGTAGACGAGCGGGTTGACACCCGAAGAGACGTAGCCGACCCACACGAAGACGCCGAGCAGCGTCTCGGTGAGCTGCGCGCTGCACCCGCGCCGACACAGCACGGAGAGCACGTTGGTGATGAAGAACGGGCACCACATGACCACGAACAGCACAAAGACTATGCCCAGCACCTTGGTGGCGCGCTGCTCGTTGGTGATGCTCGCCATCGACTGCTTGCCCGCCGCGTTGCGTCGCATGCGCGCACGCTGCCGCGATAGGGCCGGGGCCCCGCCGCGATGCTGCGCCGCTGCCGACGCTGCCCGACCCGCCGCGGACGCTACCCTCGTCTGCGTGGAGGCCGAGCGCCGCTCCATGCCGCGCCACGGGCTGCCGCCGATGCCGCCGATGCCGCCGCCGATGCTGCCAGGCTTGTCGCAGGGACGCGCGCGCGTCGTGTGCCATCGGCGGAATCGCACGGAGCCGCCGCCGCCGACACGGCAGCCCCAGGGCAAGTTGCGTCCACCTCCTCCTCCACCGCCACCACCGCCACCACCGCAGCCGGTGCCCGAGATGGAGGCGCGCGAGACGCCCGCGTCGCAGAGCATCGCCTTGTGACGCAGCACGCGCGTCGTGAGCAGGAAGGTGACCATCATGATGACGAGCGGCACGAAGAAGGCGCACAGGGAGCCGTAGATGATGAAGGTGCGGAAGGCGTCGATGCCCAGGGAGCACGTGCTGGCCACGAGCACGGTGCTCGAGTCGCGCAGGCCGATCACGGCGATCGGCATCGAGATGCCTGCGGGGGCGGTGGGGCGGAGGGAGGGGGGTGGACGAGTTAGACGTTTCAGAGCCAGGCCGATCGTCTCTTACGAGGGCAGGCGTCGACCCCGGCGAGTTGGATCACCGAGCGCATTTGGACTGCGAGGCAGAGGTCGCAAACGGGTTTTGATTCCTTGCCCGTACCCGGCCGCACCAGGGTCGCAAACGGGTACCCGTACCCGGCCGTACCCGTACCCGGGTACGGGTAGGGTACGGGTATCGGGTACCTGATTGCGACCTCTGGGATGAAGCCATGTTGCAGGCGCGGGTGGGTTGATTTCTAGGAACTTGAATTGTGAGAAGAGACAAGACGTTGGGAAATGAGTGACAAACAGTTACTCACCAGTGACTCACGGCCTACCCGGCCGCACCAGGGTCGCAAACGGGTACCCGTACCCGGCCGGGCACGGGTAGCCGGGTATCGGGTAGGGTACGGGTATCGGGTACCCGGTGGCGACCTCTGCTGCGAGGGGGGTTCCCCCCCCGGGTCCACCGTCCGAGTGATCGGAAGCGAAACTCCCTCGCGTGCAACCGAGTTGCGCCTGACACGCGTCGCGTTCTCTGCAACCGGTCGCGAGCAGTTGCGAGCCACCGGTTGCTCGCGGAAGAGACGGCCTACACTTTGCAAGCGTCGTCGTCAACAATTCACCCAGCGATTCGTAGCGACGTTTTTTTTGTATCGCACGCCGCACATATTGGTCCGTATAATCTACGTTGTGATGGAGGTGGGGTGGTGGTAGGGGGGGGGTGGTGGGGGGTGGTGGTGGTGGGGGTGGGTGGTGGGGTGGTGGTAGGGGTGGTGGTGGTAGGGGTGGTGGGGGTGGTGGTGGTTGGGGTGGTGGTAGGGGGTGGTGGTGGAGGTGGTGGGGTGGTGGTGGTGGTGTGGGGGGTGGTGGTGGTGGTTGGGGGTGGTGGTAGGGGGTGGTGGTGGTTGGGGGTGGTGGTAGGGGGTGGTGGTGGTGGGGGGTGGTGGTGGTGGGTGGGTGGTAGGGGTGGTGGTGGTGGTGGGGTGGTGGTAGGGGGTGGTGGTGGTGGGGTGGTGGTGGGGTGGGGTGGGGTGGTGTGGTGAGGTGGTGGTGGGGGTGGTGGTAGGGGGTGGTGGTGGTGGTGGTAGGGGGTGGTGGTGGTGGGGTGGTGGTGGTTGGGGTGGTGGTAGGGGGTGGTGGTGGTGGGGGTGGTGGTAGGGGGTGGTGGTGGTGGGGTGGTGGTGGGGGTGGGGTGGTGGTGGTGGTGAGGTGGTGGTGGGGGTGGTGGTAGGGGGTGGTGGTGGTGGGGGTGGTGGTAGGGGGTGGTGGTGGTTGGGGTGGTGGTAGGGGTGGTGGTGGTTGGGGTGGTGGTAGGGGGTGGTGGGGGTGGGGGTGGTGGTAGGGGGGTGGTGGTAGGGGGTGGTGGTGGTGGGGGTGGTGGTAGGGGGTGGTGGTGGTGGGGGTGGTGGTAGGGGGTGGTGGTGGTGGGGGTGGTGGTAGGGGGTGGTGGTGGTGGGGTGGTGGTGGGGGTGGTGGTGGTGGTGGTAGGGGGTGGTGGTAGGGGGTGGTGGTGGTGGGGGTGGTGGTAGGGGGTGGTGGTGGTGGGGGTGGTGGTAGGGGGTGGTGGTGGTTGGGGTGGTGGTAGGGGGTGGTGGTGGTTGGGGTGGTGGTAGGGGTGGTGGTGGTGGGGTGGTGGTGGTGGGGGTGGTGGTAGGGGGTGGTGGTGGTGGGGGTGGTGGTAGGGGGTGGTGGTGGTGGGGGTGGTGGTGGGGGGTGGTGGTGGTGGTGGTGGGGGTGGTGGTAGGGGGTGGTGGTGGTTGGGGTGGTGGTAGGGGGTGGTGGTGGTTGGGGTGGTGGTAGGGGGTGGTGGTGGTGGGGTGGTGGTGGTGGGGGTGGTGGTAGGGGGTGGTGGTGGTGGGGGTGGTGGTAGGGGGTGGTGGTGGTTGGGGTGGTGGTAGGGGGTGGTGGTGGTAGGGGGTGGTGGGGGTGGTGGTGGTGGGGGTGGGGGTGGAGCTAACAAGGAAAAGAGGCGGGGCCTATTCTTGCTGTGAAGGGCGTGGCCAGATTGTGCAACCGCCGGCTCAGATGCGGACAAAGTCGTCAGTCAAGCTGCGTGCTCATTTCGAGGTCACCGATTTGCTCGCTCGGTCGTGGACCCAGAGACCCGTGCCGACTCGTGGTGGCCACTTGTCGACGAGTTCGCGGACCTTAAAAATCCCTGTGGTTTTTGTTTGTTGTTTTGTTTTTGTTGTTGTGCAGAATATCCTACGATGGCTCATAATGAATTTGCGTTTTCATAAATCTGCAGGGCTGTAATAACACCCTTGCCATTCCCGGCGGCTCTGTAATAGAAACGTCCTGTCTGCGACTCCCATCGCGGTTAAATATTTTATGTAAACAGACACATGGCTAAATAAATAATTTCCCCGCGGAGATTTCTTATCCGCGCCCTCAAACGCCTATTGACTTTCACACTCCCACGCCTGACAGCGCAATGTGTCACCTCTAGCAGCTCTCCCTCCACAGCAACAACAACAATAAATACAAATCTAAGTTCATGTTGGGGGGAAAAAACTAAAACGAGAAAAACATTCGAATAGAAAATAATATAAAGTAACCGTTCAGTTTTAGTTGTTTTTTGTTAGTTGTGCAGCAAAAAAAAAAGAATCTTGTTTGCGTTTTTGACAAACCAAAATTACGAACCCAAATTGATGTCTTAACAATGGTCCCGGTGTTGTCATCACAAAGTTGTTTGTTGTTAGATGTGCCGCAAAAAAAAAGAATCTCGTTTGCGTTTTTGACAAACAAAAATTACGAACCAAAATTGATGTCTTAACAATGGCCCCGGTGTTGTCATCACAAAGGCAAAGACAATGTACGTCCATTGGAGCCTCCACCGTCTCTTGCGGCGACTGCTGTTAGGCAGCACCTATGAAGGGGGGGGGGGGGGGGGGCAACAACAATGCCCGGCCGCCTTCGCCTCCCAAATGACGATGTTTACGCACGGGACCAGGTTCGTATTTTACGGCCGAGTAGACACACCGGTCCGGATATTCATCACCGATGTTGACCAAGCGAGGCATGAATCGAACCCGGGAGAGGGTTCACCGGGTTTCGTAGCGGCAGTGCGCTAATCGCTGCGCCACCGTATCCTCTCCGTTGTCAACAAACACACACAAAAGACACAGAGGCGGACATTGGTAATCCATCACTGGGTCGTCCCAGGGGCGTGTTTCTCAATCGCTCATCAGCTCGCGGGACGAACGTTTTCGTGGACGGGGGGGGGAAGCATGTGGCATGATCATCATCATCATCACCACCGACGTCACAATGGTATCCAGATGGCGGGGCCAATAGCAACAGGATGACGATGCAGATTCGTGAGCCGAAACTGCGGAGGAATTCGACGGAGATATGAAAGCGAAATTTTTTTCGCAGATGTCCAGTAGAGGCGAGTCAGCAAGTTACAACAAACGGAACAAAAAAAACCGATGGGAGTGAAAAATAGAAAAAAGTTACGCGCGTATGTGTACGCTGAACTTATTTTGCACCGTACGTAGCCAACCATGCTAATCGGATGTGCGGGGGAAGGACAACAAACTAAACACGAGAAGCAGTTCTAAAGAAATCAGTTTGTCAATCAAGATGATGTAAAAGTGCATAGCTCCAGTGGCTTCCCAATATGGGCAGGAAGAGCGTTCCAGACGGCCACGTGGCGACCACCGCCTTCGCTCGACGGTTAGCCAGAAGCCGCTGCCGCGTCGATGGACATAGTTCGCGTAGTGGCGGCTTAGGGGCCGCCATAAATGACGTCACGCGATTTTGGACGATTTTTGACCCCCCCCTCCTCGTCACACGGCGTCACAAAAAGTCAGACCCCCCCCCCCCTCAAATATGACGTCATAAAGCTATACCCCCCCCCCCCAAAAAAAACATATTTCCATTTTGAAAATAAAACATGCTTCAAATCGCTTTAAACTCGTGTCATTGTAGTGCGAATTCAATGTGGCGCTGCACTCTGATGTTGTAGGAGAAAACATTGATTAAAAAAGCATATTTAATTACGTATAACGTGTTGTCTATATTTATTTAAAGTTGCGCATTTTGATGTGACGTCACATTTCTCAAACACTTCCCCCCCCTCGTCACACATCGTCACAAATGTCTGACCCCTAGGTGCGTGACGTCATCGAGCACCGGACTGCAGTGCCCGTCACGACACGTGACAGAATTCAACCTCGATTTGAAGCTTTCGTGACTGCAGGAATGCCATACTCTTTGCTTCTTTCGGTAAAGTCACGTAGGTAGAAAAATATAATAAATCACGACGTTTCGATCGCAACACAAGCAGGTAGTCCTCAGGCGGAAAAAAATATATACTCTTAGGTTCCTTTGGTAAAATCATGTAGGTGAAAAAAAAATGTAATCAAAAAATAAGAATAAAAAATAAGAATAAAAAAATCACGACTTAAAAAATATATATATATTGTGTATTCTTTTTTTACGTATATATTTTAAAAAAAAATTAACCTACGTGACTTTACCGAAAGAACCAAAGAGTATGGATCCTTGCAGTCACGAAAACTTCTAATCTAGAAGAAGAAAAAAATATAATCCATCAGTGCAACTGCTCTATACTGGAGTATGGAGAATTCAAACTCGCAAAACACGAACAAATTATAAAACACTAACAGCGTCCGAGTACAAATCGCATACACGCGTTGCGCGCATAGCCTCGTGCCGATGCGAGTGACGAGATCGTTGTGGTGAGTTTGCGAAGACTCACCGATGGACACGGCCCAGACAGCCAGGATCTTGATGAGCATCTTGGACTTGGAGTTGAAGCGACTGTGCTGGATGGGCCGTTTGATGGCGATGTAGCGGTCGATGGAGATGGCGCACAGGTGCAAGATCGACGCGGTGGACAGGAGGACGTCCAGGTAGAGCCAGATGGGGCACAGCTGCTCAGGCAGACACCAGCGGGAGTCTGGCACGCCAACAACAACAACAACGACAACAACAACAACAAATCCCCAAACCCACCAGCCTTGTGTGTTTTTGTTTGTTGTTTGTTGCGGTTGCACCCGATTCAAGAGCCGAATGGCTCACAGGGCTATACCTAAGCAATGAACATGAACTTGAGCCTTTAACGCAACCGCTTGGAGGTGTGCCGGGTAGGGGGGTAGGTCAAGAGCTGTTAGCGAGCGCCTATTAACAAATATAATTACACGGTATTTTTCCTCCGAAAGCGCGGCTGTAGTTGCTGTGTTCTAGAAGAGAACCACGTCATGGAAAAACCGCGTCATAATAAATAATATGGGTGGTTGGGTAAAGCACAGGCTGAGTCGACCTACGGGGAGGCCCGGGACCTGTTCAGATAATCGTCACTGGTGTTGGCCGTGAGCGGGAATCGAACCCGTATCGCCGGGTTCATAGCGCAGCGCGCTAACCGCTACACTACCACTCCCACACACATACACACACACAGACACACACAGACACACACAGACACACACATACACACACAGACACACACACACAGACACACACACACAGACACACACACAGACACACACACACAGACACACACACATACACACACACATACACACACAGACACACACACAGACACACAGACACACACACACACACATACACACACACATACACACACACATACACACACACAGACACACACACAGACACACACACATACACACACACATACACACACACATACACACACACACAGACACACACACAGACACACACATACACACACAGACACACACACACAGACACACACACAGACACACACACACAGACTCACACACATACACACACACATACACACACAGACACACACACAGACACACAGACACACACACAGACACACACACATACACACACATACACACACACATACACACACACAGACACACACACAGACACACACACATACACACACAGACACACACACAGACACACAGACACACACACAGACACACACACATACACACACATACACACACACATACACACACACAGACACACACACAGACACACACACAGACACACACACATACACACACACATACACACACAGACACACACACAGACACACAGACACACAGACACACACAGACACACACACATACACACACACATACACACAGACACACAGACACACACACAGACACACACACAGACACACACACATACACACACACAGACACACATACACACAGACACACACACCGATAGTCCGTGTGCAAGGGGTTTCACTTCTCAGTGAATATTCTCCCGATCGCCGGTAGACTTAGAGTAGGCTTGGCACGTGGCTTGTAGTAACCGGAGCGCGTAGCAACGAGAGTATACTGGATATGGTGTACCGGGTGCGGATATTATTTCCGTCCAGTAGATAACCATTCGCTCTGGACCGCGGCTACCGCTCGTCACGTACCACCTAATCCAGTGGCCCGGTATCCGTCGCCTCTCAGACTTAGCCTTAACCACCACCACCACCACCCACCATCACCACCACCCACTACCGCAGTCTTCTGATCATTCACCAAAGAAATGTTTACAAACAATCTGGAGCGCTTACAGAGAGCACCTGCTGGCGGCTAACATGCACACTTCATCAACGGTTACAACTCAGTCATGTGTCTCCACCCCCCACCCACCCCCCGCTTTACGTCGTTTTGCAAATACGTCGCCACTGTGTTATTGACACCACCACCACGCGATTCGCTGTCACCACAAGCCCCACACTCACGTCGCTGACTGCATCGTCGTCCGTCCCTTTCTCATTCTCCGTCGCCTGCCACAGCCTTCGCCTCCACCACCACCACCACCCACCACTACTACTACTACTACCACCCCGTATATCGCTTCGATTGTACGTCGTTTCCGATATGCGTCGTCGCACCTCTCACGAACGCATCCCCGACGTAAACAGAGGTATTGCCGTATCGGCGTTCGTTCGTTGTACGGTCGGCAAGGGCGATGGCGGGGTGGGGGGGTGGGGGCGAAGAGGGAGGGTGGGGGGTAGGGCGAGCCCCCCGTGATTTATAAGAGATGATGATGATGACAGGCGGGAGATCGATGGTTGTCAGAGGCGCGTGACCGCTGTCTCCAGCGAGGGTTATCGACGAGGCTTTGGGCGGCCAGGATTACAAACGCCCCGAGCGTAACGCCACTCATCTCGCATCTCTCTCTCTTTCTCCTGCAGCACGGGGAAATCTCAATTGGTGGGGATCACAACAACAACAACAACAGCCGTCTACAATCTCAAGTGGTGGTGACGTCACCGCGGCGCTTGTGCCAGGCTAGGTGCACTTTGAGGCCACGTGAAGTGTCGAAGGCATCCGCTGGCAGGAGGTCACGGGACAGACCCTGCAGGTGTCGTTGGGTTGACTGACTGAGATGACCGGCAGATGCACTAACCAATTTATAGATCTCTGTGCGAGTCTATGGGTCTCTACGTGAGTCTATGAGTCTCAGTGTGAATCGAAAGATCTCTGTGCGAGTCTATGGGTCTATACGTGAGTCTGTGGGTCTCAGTGTGAATCGAAAGATCTCTGTGCGAGTCTATGAGTCTCTACGTGAGTCTGTGAGTCTCAGTGTGAATCTATAGATCTCTGTGCGAGTCTATGGGTCTCGACGTGAGTCTGTGAGTCTCAGTGTGAATCGAAAGATCTCTGTGCGAGTCTATGAGTCTGTGGGTCTCAGTGTGAATCGAAATAACTCTGTGCGAGTCTATGGGTCTATACGTGAGTCTGTGGGTCTCAGTGTGAATCTATAGATCTCTGTGCGAGTCTATGGGTCTCTACGTGAGTCGATGAGTCTCAGTGTGAATCTATAGATCTCTGTGCGAGTCTATGGGTCTCTACGTGAGTCGATGAGTCTCAGTGTGAATCTATAGATCTCTGTGCGAGTCTATGGGTCTCTACGTGAGTCGATGAGTCTCAGTGTGAATCTATAGATCTCTGTGCGAGTCTATGGGTCTCTATGCGAGGCGTTAGACCACTTGTCTTCGTCGCCCCCGCTCACGGCCACCACCAACACCAGTGACGATTATCTGAACCGGTCCTGGGCCTCCCCTAGGTCGACTCAGCCTCAAACGGGTACCTAGTGCGATGGGTAAACATTGCCACGTGTTGGCCACCCACCCCCTCGTGTTGCTCTTCGGGCTTTCATAGGTGCTCGCTTACAGCACTTGACCCAACAGTCTGTTACAGGCTATACGAGGGATCTTTGTATACTTGTCTGTCTGTTGTTGTTGTGGTGTCAATAGAGGTGTGTTTACGCATGGAATGTTTGCCCGCGTGTGTGTGTGTGCCGGCGTGGTTCCTGGCCACCCACCCCCTCGTGTGCCCTGTCGGCCTTCGCAAGTGCTACTCGCTAACAGCACTTGCTTCCACCTGTTTGTTGGGGGGGGGGGGGGGGTCTTTGTGTGTTTATATGCGTGATGGTGGTGGTGATGATGATGGTGGTGGTGATGATGATGGTGGTGGTGATGATGGCGGTGGTGATGATGAATGGTGGTGAAAATGATGGTGGTGATGATGATGGTGGTGATGATGATTGTGGTGGTGGTGGTGGTGATGATGATGATGGTGGTGACGGTGGCGATGGTGGTGATGGTGGCGATGATGATGGTGGTGATGATGATAATGGTGGTGGTGGTGATGATGATGGTGGTGATGGCGGTGATGATGATGGTGGTGATGGTGGTGATGATGATTGTGGTGATGGTGGTGATGATGATGGTGGTGATGGTGGTGATGATGATGGTGGTGATGATGATGGTGCTGGCGGTGATGATGATGGTGGTGATGGTGGTGATGATGATAGTGATGATGGTGGTGGTGATGGTGGTGATGATAATAGTGGTGGTGGTGATGATGATGGTGATGATGATGGTGGTGATGATGATGGTGCTGGCGGTGATGATGATGGTGGTGATGGTGGTGATGATGATGGTGATGATGGTGGTGGTGATGACGATGGTGCTGGCGGTGATGATGATGGTGGTGATGATGGCGGTGGTGATGATGATGGTGGTGATGATGGTGATGATGATGGCGGTGGTGATGATGGTGATGATGGTGATGGTGATGATGGTGATGATGGTGGTGATGATGGTGATGATGATGGTGATGGTGGTGATGATGGCGGTGGTGATGATGATGGTGGTGATGATGGTGATGATGATGATGGTGCTGGCGGTGATGACGATGGTGCTGGCGGTGATGATGATGGCGATGCGCGTGCGTTCGTCAACAGCCGACGCCGCCGCCGCGACTCACTGAAGAGGATCGTGAGCAGTGCGATGGGCATCACGAGGACGCCGACGAGGAGATCGGCGATGGCCAGCGACATGAGGAAGTAGTTGGTGACGTTTTGAAGTTTCCTCTCGAGCCCCACCGCCAAGATGACGAGAATGTTCCCTCCGATGGTCCACGCGATCACGGCGAGCATCGGCAGAGCGTGCCACAGGAACGCGTCCGCTCCGACGACTCCTCCACCCGCGGCGTTCCCTCTCACCACGTTGCCGCCGCTGCTGTTGTCAGCAGCCAAGAGACCAAGGTGGTGCTGCGGGTGATGCTGCTGCTGCTGCCCGCTCAAGTTGTGGAGGCCCGCGCTGTGGTTGACAACAACCTCCACAGCGCTGCCCCACAGGCCCACGTGCTCGCTGGTGGTGGTGGTGGCGGTGGCGAAGAGGAGGTCGAACCTCCCCAGGCCGCTGGTCATCGTGGCCAGGACATCGCCTTGAGAGCCGGTGGACACCGCGGATGACATCGACGATGGCGATGATGGTGCGGAGATGATCCAGTCGGCGTCTCGCCTCGCCGCGGTAATTGGCGTTCCGGGAAAAGACATACTGAGCGGTGTTTTGTTTTAATAATTATTATTGTTGTTATAGCTGCGTGGGTAATCGTTCATCCGTCTGGCGGAGCTCCAAGGAGGAGACATGGGCGGGGAGTTTCTCGCGTCCGAGTCTTTTTGCGGCTTTCAGAGATGCCCGGTCTCCGGTGGCGGGGGGAAGGAGGGGGTGGACGTTGTTTCTGAAGCTGCGTGTTTCTTGTTGTTTGTTTACTATGTTTGAAATTCCCGTGTGATGCGATGCACGCTGGTGGAGAGGCGAGCAGAGACACGACTGATTGTCAGCCCGGGTGCCTTCACGTCAATGACACATCACCTCCCCCCCCACCCAACCACCCCCCCCCCAAAAAAAAGGCAAATATTTCCACGCCCGGCACACCACTTCCAGTATGCCTCCCGTCGCTGCCGGCGGCTGTGGCTGCGACTTGTCGAATGTTCCACCGACCGTCCGTCTCCGCTGAGATACCCGCGGAGAATATGTGGTGGAGTCGGGGAGGGGTGACTGGGTGGGTGGGTGGTGGTGGTGGTGGTGGCGGTAGGGGGGGAGTTGAAATGAAACGTCGACAAAATCGCGTCAACTTGGAACGCCGCCGCGCTCAGCCCTCGACGGGTGCGCAGCGGGAGGGCCGCCAGAAGCTGTCGCCACCAACGAATTGCCCAAGCTCTGCGGACCTACACATATATCACGAAATGCGCGAGCAAGTGCGTGGGTTGCTTCCCAGCTTGTCTCCGCAAACCCAGCGTGGAATTTGATGTAATCTACATTTAACATAATTTGTATTTCATAAAGAAAAAATATAATATCGATATTGCCATTATAATTTGCAAGCTATTTTTTTCATTTATGTTATTGTGTATTAATTTGATTTATTTTGCTGCGACTTGTCGCAATGCAAGAGCTTCCTGGCTCACAGGTGACTTGAACCGAATCCAGTCGCCACCGTGTCGAGGACAACAACAACAACAAACAAACAAAGAATAAAAATAACAAAAAATAAACCAGGGCGCACACGACTGCTGCTACTGCTGCCGCGGGCGATGTAATCCGATCAGAATCCCCGCCACACCTCGGCTCCCTCCAACGTCCCCCTAAAACGTCGCCGGCGGTCGAGTCGCTGGCGTTCACTCCCGTCGGAGTCCACCTAGACGAGCGTCACGGAGACGCGCTCGAGTTGAGCGATTCGCGGTTCGCGGTTGGCGAGAGGGGCCTCACTGCCGCCGTGGTTTGCGGGCGGTGCATCGTTGGCATGGTGGTGATGGTGGTGATGGTGGTGATGATGATGATGGTGGTGATGGTGGTGATGGTGATGGTGGTGATGATGGTGATGGTGGTGATGATGATGATGGTGGTGGTGGTGATGGTGATGGTGGTGATGGTGGTGATGATGGTGATGGTGGTGATGATAATGATGGTGGTGGTGGTGGTGATGGTGGTGATGGTGATGATGGTGATGATGGTGGTGGTGGTGATGGTGGTGATGGTGATGATGGTGATGATGGAACCTGCTCGCTCACCGCACTTGTCCCCAACAGTGTGTTAGAGGCTATACGGGGGATCTTTGGCTTTTGGAGTGGTGGGGGGTTACGAACCCGGCGACACGAGTTCGATTCCCGCTCACGGTCACCAACACCGGTGGAGATTATCTGAACCGGTGTAGGGCCTTCCCCTAGGTCGACTCAGTCTCAAATAAGTAAACTGGTGTGGTGCGTAAACATCGCTCTACTGGGGAGGCAGTGGCGGTCGGGCGTGGTGCTGGCCACCCACCCTCTCGTGCACTGCCCCGGCCTTCATAGGTGCTCGCAAACAGCACTTGCCCCTACAGTCTGGTAAAGACTGTACGGGGGATCTTTGTCTTGAAGGTGAAGGTGGCGGCGAAAGGTGGTTAAGGTGATGGTGGGTTTTACAATTTCAAATCCATCTTATTTGGAGTCAGCCAGAGTGGGATCGAGAGGTGAGAGATTATGGTAAATATTCAACAAGCCAGTGACTCATCTTCCTCGCCGACGTGGACAGCGCAACGCCAACGATCAGAGCCACCACCCAATGTGGTTCGCGTAGATGGGGGGGAGGGGTTAAAGGTGCATCCCTGCAGTTGACAGCTGCTGAGCTGAAGGGATGTAACCACCGCTAGGAGCTCGAGCGAGTCCTTCTAGAGAAGTGGGTTTTTACCCTTTTACTGCAGCCTTGGACCACTTTGGTTCTCAATCGTGTTACAATTTTTTTTTACAATTTTAATAAACACATCGGGCGGTTTGGTGAAAGAAAGCACGTGGTTACTTCAAGTGCCCGTGGCTGAATTTGTGTTGCGATGATTCAGCTTCAAAAAAAAATCCGGCCGTGTCTCGCACCCCCAGAAAGGGGATCTCGCAATCCGAGGGGATGCAACGTGGTTAAGAAGAAGAAGAAGCAGCACTGCTCTAGACGGCGATCTGGCCGATTCATGCGCCTTAGAAGAGGTGCACGTGAATATATTTGAGGTTTATTGAATAAAGTAATACTAATAGTTTGAACAAAAATAAATCACAGTGATGTCCCAATGAACTGATGGATCGAGGTTTCCCCACGCTGTGTTCATCACGGGGGATGATTTGGGCATACTTCACCGCGCCGGTCAGTGCGGGTTTGTGATGGAAGCATTTGGGGTTGTGGGTCTACCCGGAACTGATCCACGTGTCTCTCGACGCCGACGTTGATAGACCGCCGGAAGGGAATTTAACTCGGTATATATATATACACACATGCGTGTGTTTCGTGCTTGTAATACAATCTAGCTGGAGCATTTGCACGCCTTTGATTACATCGTTGAGAAATTATTCACGGGCAAATGTTGTCGGGGTTTGTTTTTTCGTTGTTCAAAACCACACACACACACCACACACACACACCACATACACACCACACACACACACCACACACACACACCACACACGAGATTCTAAAGAGTAACGCAGCAGACGCGCTGAGAACGAGAACTCTTCAAACACAAATTGGCTCCGTGCAGTTGCCACCCTTTTCCCCTATTGTCGATGACCAAAAATTAAAAAGGACCCCTCCCCACCGAACCTACGTCTCGAGCCGGCTCTTCTTAGCCTCTCTGTCTCTTTAAATCAAAGCTCGTGCCGAGATATCGATGAACAAACCCTCGGCACGCGAATTCATTTTTTGCCAGCAGAATAAGTTTTGTTTGTTTGTTAAATAGTCCACTGATGATGTCGATGCCCGGACGGGCCGTTGCGTTCCGCGAAACCCGGAACGGGTTGGCAACTTCGGTGCGAAAAGGGCCAAGCTCACTTTGCCCGGGGGACTACTTTCTTGGTGTTTTTTACGGGACAGGGAAATCCGAAATCTTTGCGCGGGAAATACGAATGGGCTCCTTGAGACGCGGAGTGGTTAAATCCGCATGCATGAGTTTGCGTCTTCTTCCTCTTCTTGTTCGCTGTTGTTGTTGTGATTAATATTATTATGAATCTGAGTAACTATTATATCCCGCCGCTCTGCGCTCTTCTCGTTTCCATGGAGACCGTTAAATCCTCGCGCGATGGAGGATGCGGGTCCCTGGCGACGCGTGCGGTCCTCGGGATTCTGATAACAAAAAAAATAAACAAAAAAATAAATAAAAGATAAAAACACGGAGAGGAGAGGGGAAAGAGAAGCGTTAATATAATCAAGATGTGACAGTGAGCTGTCAGGGCGATAACCGGTTTGCTTGTGTACAAAGGAGTCGTTTCGGATCTGGTTTGCGTCTCCATGATTATAACAGAGCTTTGATTTCCCCAGTTGTGTCATCTTCCATCAGATTAACACCCCCCTCCCCATACATTTAGACTCACATAGAGGCCCATAGACTCACACAGAGACTCGTAGACACACTTATAGACCGATAGACTCACATAGAGGCCCACAGACTCACACAAAGACTCGTAGACACACTTAGAGACCGATAGACTCACATAGAGGCCCACAGACTCACACAGAGACTCGTAGACACACTTAGAGACCGATAGACTCACATAGAGGCCCACAGACTCACATGGAGACCCATAAACTCACAGGAATCCACAGACTCAGATTTCGACCCATAGACTCACATATAGACCCATAGACTCACACAGAGACCCATAGACTCTCACAGAGACCCATAGACTCACACAGAGACCCATAGACTCACACAGAGACTCGTAGACACACTTAGAGACCGATAGACTCACATAGAGGCCCACAGACTCACATGGAGACCCATAAACTCACATAAACCCACAGACTCAGATTTCGACCCATAGACTCACATAGAGACCCATAGACTCACATAGAGACCCATAGACTCACACAGAGACCCATAGACTCGCACAGAGACTCATAGACTCACACAGAGGCCTACAGACTCACATGGAGACCCATAAACTCACAGAGACCTACAGACTCACATAGAGACCCATAGATTCACAAAGAGACCCTTAGGCTCACAAAGAGACCCATAAACTCACAGAGACCCACAGACTCACATAGAGACCCATAGATTCACAAAGAGACCCTTAGGCTCACACAGAGACCCACAGACTCAAATAGAGACCCAGAGATTCATACAGAGACCCATAGACTCACATAGAGACCCATAGATTCACATAGAGACCCTCAGGCTCACACAGAAACCCATAGATTCACACAGAGACCCATAGACTCACATAGAGACCCATAGACTCACAAAGAGACCCTCAGACTCACATAGAGACACTCAGACTCACACAGAGACCCACAGACTCACATAGAGACTCAGAGATTCATACAGAGACCCATAGACTCACACATAGACCCATAGACTCACATAGAGACCCATATACTCACACATAAACCCTCAGACTCACAGAGACCCATAGCTTCACATAGAGACCAATAGCTTCACATAGAGACCCATAGACTCACATAGAGACCCTCAGACTCACATAGAGACACTCAGACTCACAGAGACCCACAGACTCACACAGGGACCCATAGACTGACACAGAGACCCATAGACTCACACAGAGACCTACAGACTCACACAGAGACCCACAGACTCACACAGTGACCTACATACCCACACAGAGACCCACAGACTCACACAGAGACCCACAGACTCACACAGAGACCCACAGACTCACACAGAGACCCATCGACTCACATAGTGACCTACATACCCACACAGAGACCAATAGACTCACACAGATACCCACGGTAGCCACTGACTATAGTTGTTTACGTGGTTGTTTAGTTACTGCAGCTACATACTATTAACATTCCTTCCCTTTATTAATGCTACCCCTATGCATAATGCACGGGCATAATCTGACTTTGATACCCCCCCGCCCACCTCCCACGCATTTCACAAGTAGTACTAACCACATTCCTGCATTTCCCATAAATATGCTAAATTACTCTTGATATGCGAATTATTTTGTCAAGGCCCCCTTCCCCCCTTCCAACCCAGCTTAAATATACGCTCCAGGCGTGGTGGTGTTTCATTCAGACGCTGTCTCCCCGACAGACCTGGTCTTCACCTGAGGACGGCTGCTTGCGTTGTGGCCGAAACGTCGTGAGAATTATTTTATAATAATTTGTATTATTTTATTACTTCCCTTCTACGTGACTTTACCGAAAGAACCAAGAAGATAACCGCAGTAGTCACTGCTTGCGCATCTGTGCCGGAGCGTCACCACGCGAACACACGGAGCGCTCCACGTGCGGAAGCCCCATCACCTCGGCCCCCCTCCCCCCGCTGCCAGACGACATCTCTCAGCGCTCGCACGAATTGCACGACGAGTCCTGGGCAGCGTGCCCGCTAGTCACGCGCGCGGACACGTGCACGTGCGCGCGCGTGTGTACGCGTGCCCAGCAACGATGAGACTCACACAGAGATCCGTAGACACCTCGCATAGAGACCCGTAGACTTACACAGAGACCCGTAGATTTACACAGAGACCCGTAGACACCTCGCATAGAGACCCGTAGACTCACACAGAGACCCGTAGATTTACACAGAGACCCGTAGACACCTCGCATAGAGACCCGTAGACTCACACAGAGACCCGTAGACTTACACAGAGACCCGTAGAATTACACAGAGACCCGTAGACACCTCGCATAGAGACCCGTAGAATTACACAGAGACCCGTAGACACCTCGCATAGAGACCCGTAGACTCACACAGAGACCCGTAGATTTACACAGAGACCCGTAGACTTACACAGAGACCCGTAGACGCCTCGCATAGAGACCCGTAGACTTACACAGAGACCCGTAGACACCTCGCATAGAAACCCGTAGACTCACACAGAGACCCGTAGATTTACACAGAGACCCGTAGACTTACACAGAGACCCGTAGACACCTCGCATAGAGACCCGTAGGCTCGCATAGAGACCCGTAGACTTACACAGAGACCCGTAGACTTACACAGAGACCCGTAGACACCTCGCATAGAGACCCGTAGGCTCGCATAGAGACCCGTAGACTTACACAGAGACCCGTAGACTTACACAGAGACCCGTAGACACCTCGCATAGAGACCCGTAGGCTCGCATAGAGACCCGTAGACTTACACAGAGACCCGTAGACTTACACAGAGACCCGTAGACACCTCGCATAGAGACCCGTAGACTTACACAGAGACCCGTAGACACCTCGCATAGAGACCCGTAGACTCACACAGAGACCCGTAGATTTACACAGAGACCCGTAGACTTACACAGAGACCCGTAGACACCTCGCATAGAGACCCGTAGGCTCGCATAGAGACCCGTAGACTTACACAGAGACCCGTAGACTTACACAGAGACCCGTAGACACCTCGCATAGAGACCCGTAGGCTCGCATAGAGACCCGTAGACTTACACAGAGACCCGTAGACTTACACAGAGACCCGTAGACACCTCGCATAGAGACCCGTAGACTTACACAGAGACCCGTAGACACCTCGCATAGAGACCCGTAGACTCACACAGAGACCCGTAGATTTACACAGAGACCCGTAGACTTACACAGAGACCCGTAGACACCTCGCATAGAGACCAGTAGGCTCGCATAGAGACCCGTAGACTTACACAGAGACCCGTAGACTTACACAGAGACCCGTAGACACCTCGCATAGAGACCCGTAGGCTCGCATAGAGACCCGTAGACTTACACAGAGACCCGTAGACTTACACAGAGACCCGTAGACACCTCGCATAGAGACCCGTAGACTTACACAGAGACCCGTAGACACCTCGCATAGAGACCCGTAGACTCACACAGAGACCCGTAGATTTACACAGAGACCCGTAGACTTACACAGAGACCCGTAGACACCTCGCATAGAGACCAGTAGGCTCGCATAGAGACCCGCAGACTTACACAGAGACCCGTAGACTTACACAGAGACCCGTAGACACCTCGCATAGAGACCCGTATGCTCGCATAGAGACCCATATGCTCGCATAAATACCGTTAGACTCGCATAGAGACCCGTAGACTCGCATAGGGACCCGTAGACTCGCATAGATACCCACATAGATAACCATAAACTCACATAGAAACCCATAGACTCGCAGAGAGACCCATATCTTACATAGATACTCCTATTCTCGCAATAGACTCATAGACTTACACATGTACCCATAGACTTACACATATACCCATAGACTTACACATACCCATAGACTTACACATATACCCATAGACTTACATAAGAGGCCAGCACACTCACATAAAGATCCATACAGTCACATAAATAAACCCATCGACTGACACGGACTGGGTAGTGATTAAAGCGGGTTCTCAAGTGCAGCGAGGTGATGGTCTCGGAGCCAGGGCACCAATGGCTGCACAAATAAGGAATCGCACGCACTTAAGTTCCGCATTCAATTTAGCAAAAAACAGCAATCCCAGCTCTTCCTTGTCGCGTGAAAAGCGTGGCGCTGGGGTGCTGGCCGCCTCTTAGCAATGGGAGAGAACGGTTTTTTCGGTAAAGTCACGTCGGTAAAAAAAAAGCAAGAGCTGAAATAGCCACTATTCTTAAATATTAAAAGGGGGGCTGTCCTGGCTAATCCCCCCCCCTCAACCAGTATATATACGGGGTAGTATCTCTTGGAATTTCTCATTTACTTGATACAGCAAGCGTGCTGTGACGGTTCCACCTGAAGACGGAAGCTTGTGTTGCCTCCGAAACGTCGTGATTTTTATTTTATTTTTATTTTACTTTTATTAATTTAAATTAAAAAATTTTACCTACGTGACTTTACCGAAAAAACCTAAGAATATGAATACTTGCAGTCACGAAAGCTTCAAATCTAGAATCTCTGAAATTGACGGGCGAAAGAAAACCCAGGGGAGGGCGTGAACCACCGTCACCCATAGAGCTTTCTGGTCAGGCGAAGCTCTTCGTCGTGAGAGACACAGCATGCAGCCAAGGACAGCACAACGATGGTGAGAGCTCATTGTAGAGAATTAAAGTGAATGAGTGGGTGCTGACCGCTTCGTTTTTGACGTGCCGGCCTTCGTAGGTGCTCGCCAACAGCACTTGCCCCAACTGTCAGTCAAGGCTTTACGGGTGGCGGGGTCTGTATCTT